ACTAAAGTCTACAAAACCCAATGATCTTTGAATATAACTCTGGATTGTTGATGTGATGCAATAAAGACCATGTTTACCTTGAGCTGTTTGCCTTGTCCTCTAACAGGCGGTGTTTCATGACGTCCTTCAGGTGCATCAGTACTAGTCATAAGAAAATTGCTTTGGCTACAAAAGTCAGGGCAGTAGATTGAATGGCATTCAATGATCTGATAGAGTGAGAGGTAATAATAGTTTTTAAGCAAAAAGCAACTTCTCACAGGTTTATGGAAAAATTTCAAAGCCCAAGTGAAAACTGGGGCTGGGCAGTAAGCACAAGTTTCAAAGAGAATTGATGTCTTCATGACCTTTTATTACTAATAAGTCTTTCCCACATCCTGTTGAGTTCTGTGTCTAAACTGATCACTGATAATATTCATCCATCCGTCAGTGGATGTGTTGGTTGAGATTGTTGTTGGGCTGATGTTGCTGATGATTGAGAAACTCTAGAAGCTGCATTAAATTTTTCTGAGGCTAAATTTTTGGCTGAGAAATTTCATCTCACATTTTAATGCTGATGTAGCAGGTTTATAAATTGTAGTCAGAACAAACGCACTAAAAGGATCGTTAACATCACAAGTGGAGCATTTAGGACAGTGTGTTCTTAGGTACCACTGCTCTGCGTGTCTTAAATGTGTCTGTGTTCCAAAACAGCTGATTCAAATGATTACATGACCTCCTCTCCATGCCATGAAGTTCTACAGAAGCCTGTTTATCACCTCTGTATTCAGGTCAGGTGTATGGCAGAAGGAAAATACTTAAGACATGGAGGGCAGCAGTCCCTGAGGACCAGAACTGAGAAACACTAATTTAGGACATGTGAGTCACTGACCCTAACCTATTGTTTCCCAACCTTCATTCTCAAGGCACAGTGCTTTGCATTTTTCAGATATTTTCCTGCTTTAACTCACATGATTCAGTTGTTTGCAATTCAGCAAAACCTGTTAATCAGACATCAACTGAAGCTGGGAAACTCCTAAAACGTGTTGAGCATAATGCCTTGTGCATCAGGGTCAAGAAACACTGCTCTTTTCAGCTCAGTATTCATGGCTTTGCTGCTTGAGGATCCAAATAACCTACCTCTGTTGATACAAACGCAAATTCCAATACCTGTTTTATTCCCATGAGACCCATCACTCATTTTGCATTGCTGAAATAAAAGAATAAAACAAAAAATTCAAACAAGCTTTCAGACTGGATTCACAGAGCCAGATTTCCTATGCCAGCAGCAGAATGTGGAAACCTGTTGTTCATCCTGCTGAGAAATAGCAGCTGTTCCTCTTTGCTTGGTAGATAATAATAGCTTACAAAGTTCAATAAACTTCTTTGCTGAAGCTTCACAACATCTCCTACGCATTTCCGTTATGATAAAAACTCCTGGAGAGGGCTGTTGTTTCACACAACACTTTATGAAACATTTACTTAACTGAAACATATACAAAAAAATCAAAGACAGTGTAATACTTTGGCTGCAATATGAGGTGCCATTGTAGTACAAAAAGCAAATTTCTAAGATTTGAGTTGGTTTTAGTCTGATTCAACTACCTTCAGTTTGACTAGTCCCTCTTATGTTTTCAGTTGCACAATCAAGGCTTTGCAAAATGACAATAAACTTTACCTTGTTATGAAAAAAGCTGCCAATGGCAAAATATTCTTTGACAGCTAGATTTTTTTTTTTTTTTTACACGATATTCAAGTATATATTCAACATTTTTGGAAATGTGAGACTGGGGAATTCTTCCCCAGGCGTTGTAATTTTTCTTTCTTAATTGACTCTTTGTCGGAATTTGGAAAATGATAACAGCAACTGACATAGGTCTGAAAGCTAAATATTTCACCACTGTTTGTTGATAATCTGGTAACCAATTCAGTAAATCTATTTTTGGACTTGTTGGCTCGTCAGACTTCTGGTCTCTCTCCTGATGCCTCACCACTGGAGAATGTGAAGTAGGTCTTCTTGCAATATACTGATAAAATAAGTATACAAACAAAATTATCCAAAACTTTCATATAGTAAATGGCATTGAGCTTGTTGTGCCACTTAATACTCATTTAGACAGAAAATGTACTGGTGCCAAAAACACCTGCGTCCACAGGAATGCAAGCCTGTGGACTTTTGAAAAAATAAACTCATTATCCCACCGACTCTCATGTTCTTTCAAAATAATTTAAGGCTGAACATTTTATGGCCAATGTCTTTTGATTTATTTTTCCAAAAGGAGAAGAGTAATTCTTGAGCTGATGCTGAAACTGGGTAGCTTTATCCTAATAGAGTTGCAGAAGTACTTTGGATGGTCGGTGACTGAGAGCTTTTGTATTGTACTCATATTTGCATACATTGATGAAGAGATGAGCAAGAGATGAAGAGATTGTTTAGGACTTAATGTACAGTCATAGGGCACTGCTCCGACTAGTAAATTGATCATCACCAATCGCGAGTGTGTAAGTTTGTTTCTTCTCACTTTTTTGCACTAGTATGTGTAGGTCTGTTCATTACGGTTAAACAGACTGAATGGTGGAGACTGTCCTGTCCACGGTGCATCATATTGGTAGGTTACTTCCTGGACTGGCCATCACAGACTGCTGGAGTTAGGCACAAGTCGTCTCCTGCGACCTTGCATGGATGAGCAGATAAATAATGCTGTAAAATTGTTCTCAGATCTATTCGTCTTTAGATTTAATCACTTCTGTCAATGCTTAACTCCAGCTTAGTAAACTGCCAGTCTACTGACAAATTATTTCACATTATTGCATGACATTTTCCCAATGTCACTTGTCACTTATACCAATGTCAGGTATAACTGAAAAAACTTGCCAGTGGAACCAGTACTTTTTCTTCAATTTAAAATAAGGTCCTATATCCTGCTGAAGAGTTATTTGTTAGTTTTTTCTTAATTCAGTTGTATAAAAATATTGGAACTAGAGTCAAAGACCAAAAATACTTGGTAAGATTTTGTACTTTTGTAGTCCCGGTTGTTGAAAGTGGAATTGTGAGTCACATTCTAGTGTACTGGTTGCTCTTTCCCAGGACGTTTTGTTCTCAGGGATCACAGCGCTCCCTCAAGTGCACGCTCTCCATGACCTCTGGAGCAGAAGATTGCCCCGGTTATCTCTGATGCAATCACGTCTCATTAAAATGTATGTTATAGCAAAACCATGACAATCATGCTGTAGTAAACACCCATGTTTACTGAAACATTTAGCCATGAAATTCTAGTAGATTTAGACTCAGCATATGGCATTGTTTTTGAATATTAATATTTGAACTGTAAACCTCAGATCTGGTATAAGCTTGACCCTTTTTCCGACTATTTTTGTATCATTTTGACTTGATTATGTAAGAGAAAACACGGGCAGCTATTCAGGGAATCCTGCCCCAGATTTGGAGCTTGTCTTCCCTTCCACAGGAGCAGCAGCCTCAGTCTATAAGAAGAGGTCAACAGGTTCACAGAAGTATCCTTCCTTACAGCCCTGGCCTGAAACAAATTACTTTCTGGACAAAGCCAATAATCTATTCGCTTCTATGATGAAACGTCCAGACAATAGCTGCAATAGGATTGTGTTTCTGTTCATTTTTCAATTGCCAAGAGTTAGAGTTTTTATTTGACAGAATCTGTGAAAAGAATGAAAACATTATTGAATGATTTTTTTTTTGTTCTTTTGATTTTTTTCTTCTTTTTTTAGGAAAGCCTGTGAAGATTTTATTCTTTCACAGCAAGTCAATATAGAAAGAGGCTCAACACATAGATGTGGAGGATGTGGTGGGGTGACACTCCGAATTATTTCACCGTTGGTCTATTAAACATATTTTTCAGTCTCTGAGTAAGGGTGGGCTTTAAGGAAGGGGCCACCCCACATTCTGGGTCAGTGGCGTTACAACAGCCCAGGCTGATCTAACTGTACATTTTGTTTTCATCCACACAATGGATTCCAGCTAATCTCTTTCTTCTGTGGCCTCCGTATTATATTTTTCTGAGAACACAGTGGTCTGTTGCCACGCACATGCATGTGTTGGTGTTTTTCACAAATGAATGTACAGCTTTGTGAGCGTGCCTGGCTGTGCTTTTTCTTTGCATGTGCCTGGACCCCCATGAACACCGGAGCCTCTACTTTAAACCCAATTTCTGAACTCACTAACCTATCAGTCTGTGTGGAAATGTACAACTTTGGGTCATAATATTTGTCTGGAACATGCATTGAATCTATGGCTGATTGGAAAATTTGAGAAGTGCCTGAGCTTATTTATCTCAATTTAAGAAAGACACACAATTGAGCCCTACTGTAATCAGTATTAAAAAACTGGCTGCTCATTGGGTCACAAATCAAGGTTACCATAGGTAGGTGTACCCTACCTGAACCAAGGTGAAAGCACAACAGGCCCGTGTTGCTCGCACTGTTCTTACTTGGAATTTCACACAAAAGTCCGGTTCAGTTACTCCTGATGCCTCACCACTGGAGAATGTGAAGTAGGTCTTCTTGCAATTCATTGGAAAACTCATTGGAAAACTCATTGGAAAACTCCCTGCAGCATAAATCCACCTCTGGAATTCACCCATATCACTACTAAGTTTGGTAAACAGCATTTTGGTACGAAACAGCTGAAAGCAAAAAAAACAGGTAGACCAGAACTCCAACATTTTGTCCTTTTATCGCCATCATGTACTTTGTGTCAACAAAATCCAAAACTTCTTAGCACTCAAAGCTGTTGTGGATCAAATTTTACATAATTTTACACCATTCCCAGACCAAAACCTTAAAACTTTTAATATGTTAACTGATGATGTGATATTTATTTTGTGTTCATTATTACCTGATACTAATGAATGACATAATATGAAACATGGCACAAAACAAATGGAGTTGAACAAAACTGACCCAGAACATTGGTTATGTAATTTCAATATTTTTGTTCAAGTTATCTTGTTATGGTTTGATTTTAGCCTTGCATCTGGCATCTGCACATGCTTGTTTTTCCCTCTTGTCCTGTTCTTTTTGGTGTACATCTGTGTCCAGAGTGACTTGCACAAGGCAGGGTTGAGGAGGATGTCTCCTGCAGGGAAATAAAAAGCACCTCGATGCTGTTGTTCCATGTCACATCTTCATCACATGCTTCTACTCTCATGAACACAAAGGCAATTGTCCTTGTTAGAACTTTTATTGATTTCTCACTGAGCAAATTAATTCTCATAGCTGCTACAAATATAACATTTATTACAGTCTCTGTGTAGAGTGCTGTGGTGGGGGATCCACTTAAATATGTAAAAGTCTGAGAATAAAGTGATCTTTTTCTCAAATACAGCCTAAAAAATTTAATTTCTTTTTAGTGACTTTATTTTTTCTTTATTAATGCTTTCATTAGCTAATAAGTATGAAAAGTCAGTCATCCATCCATTGTCTATACCCACTTGTCCAGGCAGAGTTGTGGGGGAACTGGTGCCTTTCTCCAGCTGTTCCTGGACAAATCAGAGTCCTACAAGAAAAAGATTTATATGACAAGTATCGTCATCCACAGAAAAAAAAAAACTGACGAGAAAGACTGAAAATGGTGAGCTGGATTGGGTAATTTGATAGATTTCTTTGCTTGTTCAAGCATAAAACCTTCTTCTTACTTCCTTCCTAAGGCTGTAAAGTTGCAGCTGCAGATTGTCTATTTGGATATTTCAATCCTTACACAAGGCTTAATTGATAGATAAAAAAATAAAACCCAACAAAAGACTGTAAGTAGGAACTGGCTGTTCATATCTCTTGCTAAACAAGGAAGGAAATCAAGATAGAGAACTATTCCTAAATATTCAATACTAATAGATTTAATATTAGTAATCTATTCACCAAAAGTATCAGTTTATAGCTGAATCTTGCTTTTCCATAGAAATGATTGGGATGTACAGACAACCAACATAAATATATCGTAATAAAACCTTTAATCTTTACCTTTTATTAAAGGTCACTGAGGCCGTTGTTGCATAGTTCTGTTTGCCTACAAAGAACATCATGTGAAAACCTGTTTTCTCTCTTACATTCAAATTGATTTGCACCACCCCTCTCTAGCACTGCCAAAACTCATTGTACTGAAACTTCTACAAAAGGCATTGAACGAAATTCAAGATTTCGATCACTGAAAAACTAATTGGAGCCGGTCTGGTACACGTAGTTTAAGATTTGTAAATAAATTAAATAATCTGAACACCAATATTGCTTGATTATAACTGGATCTTGTGTTCTCCCTTTAACGATTATTGGGACAAATGGACAACCAACATAAATATATCGCAATGAAACCTTTAGTCTTTCATTTTATTTAAGGTCATGGAGGACGTTGTTTCACAGTCCTGTTTGCCTACAGAGAACATCGTGTGAAAACGTGTTCTCTGTCTTATGTCCAAATCGATTTGTACTACCTCTCTGCAGCAATGGCAAAACTCATTGCGCTAAAACTTCTTAAAAACGTCTGTGAAAGTAACCGTAGATTTCAATAAGTGAAAAACGAATGTGGGATTATCTGGCCTAGAACATGCAGGTTGAGTTTTGTAAAGAAATTCAGGGTGTATTCAGACTCTAATCCGTTTGTCGAGAAAGTCCGAGTTTTTGGGGAGTTCTAAAATGGTCTAAAACGGACTTAAAAACTGAACTCTGATCCGCCTAAAAACCGTTGAAGTGGACTTTAAAATGGTAGAAAACCTGTCTGAATGTAACCTGACTAGAGAGTGTTTCAGAAGCAGAAAGTTAGCTAAAGTGCTGGACATTCTGGTCAATATATTACTCTCTGCTCTGCGGGTTAACAAAGATGTTGTGTCAGTTGTCATATCAATGGGTTTGAGTGCCAACACTAAGCAAGGAAAAGAAGAATATAAATGGTTTGAAGTTGTTTTCCAACTTTTTATCAGCTTATTGTCCCATCTGCAGCTGCTGTAATTTTAAACCCTTAATAAATGACAAAATCTGAACTAATTGTCTTTTTAGTTTAAACATAATCATCAAATAACATCAAATAATCAAAATGGAGGAATTTACTTAGTCCTCTCTTCCTACTTGCTAGAATCCAAACTGATCATAGATTTAAATCAAGGGAGAACATTTATAAACATCAGCCATTTTCTCATCTTTAATTTAAACCATGTTTATAGAAATTGGGTAAGAAATAAAGGCACTGCGATCATCATTGTTGTTTCTACTGTTCCGCATTGGAACAGCTTGGTTTAGTGGACAGACTCACCGTGTCGTAACGGTGCCAGCAGGAACATTGCTAGCTTTAGCGGCTAACAGGCGATGTCCAATCGGTAATGTATATGAATGAAGAAATCCTACAACCGCTAAAATCTGACCCTGCTCCATTTTTGTTTACTTTTTGTGAAGAAGAAAGTTGCGTTGGCCTTTTTCAGAGGTTTTGTGTTGATTTCTTCAGTAGTTGTTGGTGCAGTCGTTTGCAGTCATTTGACAGTGCAATGTGAATGTAAACTAGAGTTCTGCAAACGTAACAAATGTTGTGATTTTAGTCCCCAATCGAACCGTGTCTACCGGACTATCCGGTCTGAATGCACCCTCAGTATATTTACTATGCATTCACTATTGTAAAATGTGAATTTTACATGTTTTTAATGGTGTTTGTAGTGAGTGGTTTGACTCCATTTTTGTGTTTTATATTTATATTCTACCAGATGGTGTCTTCAAAATACAGATATGCTCACAGGTAAAAAACGTGAGTTAGGTTAATTGGTAGTTTTAACTTATTTATTTAGCCATGAGTTAGCGTTTAGGATTGTCTGTCTCAGAATGAATCACCCTTTCTACTAGAGTGTTACAGCCCCTGGCCTCTTGGATCTGTGTAGGGTTTTGTTATGCAGGTTCAGCTGTGATGGCTCATCTCCTGATTGGCTACCTGGAAGCTGCAGGAACTACACCCATTGGACCAGAAGGGAACTGCAAGCCACCAGATGTTAATGAGACTCACCTGGTTCTATAAAAGGCTCCTGGAATCATTTCCTCAGGGGGACAGCTTGTAGGAGGAGGTTTTGCTCCGCTGTTCCCCACTTTTGATTGTAGTTGTCTTTGACAATTTTGTGAATATTTTGGTTGTTTGTTCTGCTAGAGCAGGTTGACTTTGATTTGGTTGATAACACAAGCCAGACACTTGTATTTAGGAGGCTTGCTGCTCCTTTTGTATGTTTGTTCTTTTTTTTTTTATTTTCCTTTTGGTTTATTTGAATTGCTATGGACTGACTTGTTTGGGCACTTTGTGATTTACTTCGCACTTACCTTTTTTTTAATGCTGTCAGCCCTTTCTTTTGTTTTAATTGGACTAAGTGGTATTGCGTCTTGGTTTTGTGAGAACTTTGTTTCTTTTTGTAATAAATCACCTTTTTATTTATCCCTCCTATCCTCTGGACATTTTTTATGTTACCGCCCTGAACCCCTAGACCAATAGGGGCGTAACATAGAGAATGCTGGGATACACCTTATCTCGCCATGACCTGAGTGAATAAATGCTCTTATCAATAAAATCTTGGGGGGGAGGTTCAATGAACAAATGTTATCTTTAAGGGTAAGGAAACTGCTTCTAGGGGAGCTGTGGTGGTACAGGGGTAAAGCATGACCCATATATTGAGGCCTTACTCCTTGTGGCAATAGTCGCTGGTTCAATTCCCGGCCTGTAACATTTGCTGCATGTCTTCCCCTTCTCTGATTACCCTGTTTCCTGTCAAACTACTTTCAAATAAAGGCCAACAAAACCTTTTTTTTTTTAAAAAAGAAGCTGCTTCTGTGGACTTTGGAAATTAAGCATAAATGGTAAATCAGAGACTGAGGTCTCTGATTTTCAGGTGCTGATTTTCATCTAGCTGCATGCTTGGTCTGTGAACTGCTCCAGTGAAAGGTCAGAACATCATCCAATCCTGAAACACCAAAATGGATCCCCTCAGCACCTGGGTTCAGCCTTAAAATTCTTCCCATAAAGGCCATGAACAGAATCGATGTGCAACTTTGGCAGATTACATTTCAAAATACAAATTTAAATAGTTTTTTTTTTGCATTTAATAAATTTATTAAATGCAATAAATAATAATTTAATAAATAATAAATTTGTAGATAAATTTATTTAAGCATTTTGTGACGAAAATTAAAACTTACTTTTTACTGATTGTCACCCTTAAAACACTTACATGTAGGTAAATGGGTCCATGAGGATGGTGCCATCAGGGGGTAAAATATAATTGACTCATAAATTATTCATTTGAAACTCATAAGTTCTTAACATTTTTTAAATTGTATTTTTTAACAGTATTTTTTTTAAAAATACTGTATATGTCATATTGTCTGAAATTGTCAGACACAAACGCAAACTAGAGAGTATAATAGGAGACAAACTGGCTAAAACATAAATAAATAAATGAATAAAAAAATTCTGCTTCTTCTGAGCGATACAGCATGGACTGGTGAAGTTTGCTAAACTGTTTTGTTTGTTTTCATTGTAAGAACAACCCAAACAACCGACCCGTACACCATTCCTAGGTCCCCTTCATTTGAAGCTCCATAGGACATTGGTACGATATGTGTAGGGCAGAGCTACTTGTGTCACACAACACAGTTCATTGATTGAGAGACAGAAAACTTCACTCCTTGCAACAAACACGAGATACTTGTGTGTTAGGTGATTGGGTTTAACTCTGGCTGCCCAGTGAGAGTCATACTGGCGGCGGAAACAATGTCAGTGGAAACGAGACACTGGAAGACAACAAAATTGAAGATGTACAGAGGAACTGATAGCCTGAATAAACTGAGGCACAATTATACAAAGGTGGGTGATCACTAGGATTGGGCACAAATGTGGATAGATGTAGTGGAGTAAGATGAAGGATGAGGAAAATGAATCAATACAACCAAATAAATGAAAATCCTTGGATAATAAAAAAGGACATGACAAAACACAAATGAAACATGAAGCAGAAGGGGAGACAAATTATTCAAATAAGACAAGAAGTGAGATCTACATTCAAGTTGATATCTTGAACCTCAATTCAAGATGATGGCAATATATTAAGCATTCAAACAGTAAAGGAAGTTTTCTTTTTTTACAAATAAAGTGTTAAGAAATGCTAAAAACCGCAAACTCTAGGAATTTTTGTTGTGTGTCAAAAGCCATATTGGACATTGAAACCTTGGCTCATCTGACACTTAAACCACTTTAGTGGGTGTTCTTGTCATATTTCTGACTGGAAACCTCAAAACTCGGACTTCTGAAAATGAAGAGAACACACCGTAACCTAACAAGAATCAAAAGAAGCATAGCCAACAAACGGGAAGATAAGATTCTGAGAGTAACCATGTACTAAGACTTGCATGCAAAATAATTTTTAAGAGACTTAAAAGAAAAACCCTATCACAAAATTCAAGCATTTAAGCAAACAGTGATGTGTGATGCTTTTTTATGCAATTTACAAAGTTACAAAGTGACTCTTTCTGCTGGTTTGTGTCTTTGTCTGTCGTCTTTCATGTTTAATTGCAACATTTCCTTTTTCAAATTAGACTGAAGGACGTAGAGTACAAAGCAGCAAAATTGAGCACTGAACAGTTTTAACCTGAATTTGTGACGTACACTGGAAAAAGCTACAAAAGGAATCATAAAAGCCTTCGCTACCGTCGTCATGATTGTAGCAGAACTTAAATAAAAGCTACAATTAGTCACTAGAAAACAGTCTAAATTCATTAAGTTGGCTTGTTTAATTTTTGCCACTCTGCTTTTAGAGTGGATGTAGCACCTGATTGCTATGGAGTCCGTCAGGTGTTGATCTCAGTGGGAAGATGGTTGTGCAGTGTTATCCGGGTCCTTCAGTAAATACCAGAAATACGTGGAAGGATTTTGTTATGTATGTACAGTTACAGGCTGTCCCCCCCATGTTTTCCAACCCAACTGCTGCATTTTTTGAGTGGTATTGATCTTCTCATCAAAGTGTTATTTCCCAACTTTTTGAACTACGGCTCTTGTGATCATCAAAATGGATGAGTTATGTATTTTGAATGTAAACTGAAACAAGATACAAACTGCTAAAGCTGCTCCATATCATGGAATACAATGTTGAGTAGTGTGCTTTGAATTTGAGAGGGAGAGCAAAGGAACATTTTGTTCATTAATGGGTACGTGGGTTTTGTTTTTTCTTCTTTTTACCCCTGTGGGAGGGGTGAATAATGTGTGTGTGTGTGTGTTACACATGAATAGTGCTGAAAAACATCAAGTTCAAGGTTATTCTGATGCCACTTGAGAGTCTGTGAGTGAACATTTTCACAGGGTAACAACATGAGGCCCCCTGCATGTTACTTAAATTATGCCAGCTCTCAGGGGGCAGCATCTGTTTGTAAGGTTATCTCTGATTGGACTTTTCTTGAAGGCCATTGCACTTTACTTAAAGAAAAGTATGTAAAGACTTGCATAAAAACAAGAATGAAAGTTCAGTTTTAATTTTTGTGTTTTTGTTGGCATGAAAAGGGTTTAAATGCGCACTAAGATATAAGCAAGGATACATGAGAGCGTGATTCCACTGTCATCTTGTGGAAATTTCAAAATAAAATTGAACAAATAACTGCACCAATTTAATCGGTGGATTTAATGTTGCAGCTTTATACCGAACAGCCTTCCGTCTCTTTTTGCTTTTTGGTAAATAAATAAATATAAATGGAACATGAACAAAATCCTACATTCACAATAAATGGTTCTCAACTGGGAGAACTCTGCAGTTAGAAACTCTTCGAGCCAATCAGAACTAATTAAAATCGACTCAAAGCAAACACGTAATTTCCAGTAAATATTTGCCAGGCGTAGAAGTGTGGCAGTAGTATTTGCCTTGCCAGAGTTTCGGTTAATCGCTGGGATACCCGGTTCAAGCGAACCCGCCTCACCTCCGCTGCTGTTTATTTTCAAGGAGAGGCGGGGTGAGGGCATTTCCACAGTCTATCTGGGGTCATACGATCCTTTTCAACGTGGATCCATAAATGAATGGTGGGCTCGATAGCCACACCATGGAGGACCTGTCCCTGATTGGTTCGGTGCGCGTCAGGAATAAACACTCTCAGAGTATATATATTGGTGCAAGGTGTCACACTTCTAAGAAAAAGAACTCCCTCTCAGAAAACTTGCGACAGAGAAACGGCAATTTGCCATCAGCCAAAGATTCAGGATGAGGGCGCAGATCCAAAAGGTTCCTCAGATTGTTGAGCTGCTGAGGAAGAAGCCTGTGGGGCTGCAGCACTTCAAGCCCACATCCTCCGTGTGCGTCCTGGAAGAGAAGGATGCTGCGGAGGCTGCGCGGTGCCCACATGCTGCCTTGAAGGCGCA